TGGCTGTGCTCTGAGGCCCGGCATCTTGGCACACATTCACCAGCTGTGTGACCCTGGTCCTTTTCCCTAACTTCTCTGTGGCTCTTCGTAACATGGCTTAATGATCACACACACCTCTTCGAGGCCTTGTCAGGATTCCGATGAATTTGTCTCAGGACACCAAAGACGCTACACACTGGATGACGGCTGGACCAAATTCTAAAAACTCTCTGACCACTGTCTGAAGCAGCCAGCCTGTGAAGCCACACATACCTACAGCAATGACCCCAAAGGCCAGTACTTGACTAAGAACTGCCAGCTTCCCTGATTTCTGTTTATTTAGACAGGGTCTGGTTATGCAGCCCAGGCCGGCCTGGAACTCTTAATCCTCCTGCCTCAGCCCCCTGAGAGCTGGGATTACAGGCATGCACCACCATACCTGGCTTCTACGGACATTTTTCTTGTCATTATTTCCTAAACAGTATAGTCTCCCAACCATATACATGGCATTTGCATTGTATCAGGAATTATAAGTCATCTTAAGGTGATAAAAGTCAGCTGAGGATGTGTGTAGGTTCCGTGCAAATACTACTTCGTTTTATTTATTTATTTATTTGGTACTGGGATTTGAACTCAGGGCTACATCTTGAGCCACTCCACCAGCCCTTTCTCTGCGAAGGGTTTTTTTGAGATAAGGTCTCCTGATCTATTCGCCCAGGGCTGGTTTCAAACTTTGATCCTCCTGATCTCTGCCTCCTGAGTAGCTGGGATTACAGGCGTGATCTATCTGTGCTTGGCTCACAACGACATTTTATGTAAGGGATTGAGCACCCCTGGTTTTGGTATCCAGAGATGGAGGGAGTTCTGGAACCAGTTCTCCCAGGACATGAGAGATGGCTGTATTCAGAAATGCCAGCTTTGGAGCCCAGAGTGGTGGCATCTGTAAGCCCTGCACTCGGGAGGCTGAAGCAGGAGGATCAAGAATTCCAGGCCAAGCTGGGCACAGTGGCTCACGCCTGTAATCCTAGCTACTTGGGAGACAGAGATCTGGAGGATCTCGGTTAGAGGCCAGTCCCAGCAAACAGTTCTCAAGACTCCATCTCCAAAATAATTTGAACAAAGAGAATTGGAGGCGTGGCTCAAAGCGGTAGAACAGCTGCTTTGGAAGTGCGAAGCCCTGAGTTCAAATCCCAGCCCCACCACAAAAAAACAAACAAACAAAACCAGAGGTCAAGGCCAGCCTGGGCTATAGAGGAAGACAGTGTCCCAAAACACAGAACAAAAAAGTCAGGCACAGTGGCTCATATCTGTAATCCAAGCTATTGGGGAAGCTGAGATGGGAAGGATCCTAGTTTGAGGCCAGCCTGGGCAAATAATTAAGGAGACCTAATCTCAATCAAGAAGCCTGGTGTGGAGGCTGGTGAGGCACTGTTAGGAAGATTGCAGTCTGAGGCCTGCATGGGCAAAAGTGCCAGTTACGGTTAGCAATAAATAAAAAAAGCAGCTGGGCACCAGTGGCTCACGCCTGTAATCCTAGCTACTCAGGAGGCAGAGATCAGAGGATCGCAGTTCAAAAATCACAAAAAATGGCTTTCAGAGTGGCTCAAGTGATAGGCCCTGAGTTCAAATTCCAGTACTGCAAAATAAGTACATATAAAAATAACTGAAGCAAAAAGGGCTGGTGGCATAGTTCAGTCCATAGAGCACCTGCCTTGCAAGCCCAAGGCCCTGAGTTCAAACTCCAACACCACCACCAAACAAGAAAAAAAAGGCATCTTTGTTCACTTAGGGAGGCCTGGGTTTATTTCACCATTACCACCACCCTTAGGGAGGGTGCACAGAGAAGCCCCAGGATCTGGGAACCCCAGTTGGGAGTCCCCCCTGAATATCACCCAGCAGCAGAGCCTGCATCCTTCCTGCGCAGAGGGGTTCGCCCCACCATGGCTGCACCCACTGGATGGAGATGCAGGGCCTCCGTGGGCAGAGGAAGAACTGGGCTCAGGCCAAGTCCATGCATTTGGAAGCAGGGGGCGTGGCCACCAGCTCAGCAGATGTCTCCATGGCAACGCCACACCCACACCAGTGCAGGCCGCGGCTTCTGTTCTGCTAGGCAGAAAGGCCATGGAGTCCAAACCACCATTTCCGCAGGATTGGGTTTGGGTTTAAGTTTCTTTCATTTGTCCTAGAAACAACACATGTCTGTGACAGGAAAAAGAGAGAAGGGAGAAAGGGAAGGAGGGAGAGCGAGAGAGAGAGACAAAGAAAGAAAAAGAAAGGAAGGAAGGAAAGAAAGAAGGAAGGAAGGGAAAAAGGAAAGAAAGAAAGAAAAAAGAGAGAGAGAAAAAGCCAGGCATGGTGGCCAGCTTTTGAGGAGTGGAGGTAGGAGGATATTGTTTTTGAGGGAGGGGGTGACTGGAATTTGAACTCAGGGTTTTCTGCTTCCAAAGCAGGTGCTCTTATCACTTGAGCCACTCCTCCAGTCCATTTTGCTCTGGTAATTTTAGAGATGGGGTCGCACGACCTATTTGCCTGAGCTGGCCTCAAATCCCAATCCTCCCAATCTCAGCCTCCTAAACAGCTGGGATTGCAGGCATGAGGCTGTTTAAGAATCTTGAGCAGAGATTGACCTCCTGGGCAAAAGTGCAAGACCCAATTTGAAAAGCAAATTAAAAGCCAGAGGACTGAGCCGGAGGCGTGGCTCAAGCGGTGGAGCAGCTGCCTAGCAAGCACAAAGTCCTGAGTTCAAACCCCGTACTGCCAGAAGAAAAAAAAAGCCAAAAGAGGAGCACACAGTTCAAGCGGTAGAGAGCCTGCCTAGCAATCTTGCGGTCCTGAGTTCAAACCTCAGTCCCACAAAAAAAAGGTCATCAGGGATGCAGCGACCTGCAGAGCAGCCCAGACTATGGCTGGCAGCTGGCCCCCGAATTCTGGCCTGGTCCTGCAATTATTCCCCAGGGCTCTTCTATGAATCCCTCCTCCTGTGGGATTGCTGGGCACGGCCAAGGGCGGTGTCAGCAAGGGAATGACCAAATCAGCACTTTCTGCCCCCACACAATGGCTGGTGAGAGGTCTGCTGGGAGAGCCCCTGTCCAGTCCTCTCCCTCTGCACCCCACCTCTGGGGTGGAAGTCCCGGAGAGAGGCCAGGCCACCAGCCACATGTGACAGCATTTGCTCTGGCTGCAGGAAGTAGAAAAAAAAATTTCAAACTTCAGCAATACAGGAGTCTATCTTGTCTCACCTGGCACAAGCCAGGTGGCCAGCTGCCATTGACACTCTGCCCATCAGTTTCCAGGTAAGGTCCCCAAATAAGGAGGGAGGCTGGGGTTCCGGATGCACTTGATGCATGGGGAGGCTGTCAGGGTGGTCAGGGGGTCCTGCAGGAGTGGGAGGCTGGCCACCTGCAGGTAAGCACAGGTGCATCATGGTAGGACTTGTGACCGCGACAAATCCCTGCCGCTTCTTAGACCGGCTCCCACCTGTGCAGGAAAGGACTGGCTATCCAAGTAGATGAAGGCTTAGTTTGCAGGCAAGAAGCCACTTAGTCCTTTGAGTTGGGCTTAGGTACCACTTGAGCCACCCCGCCCGCTGGGTTTCCACCATCTTTCTCTACTCTCTGACTTAATCAGTTAACACTACTTTCTGACTCTTGACTTTTATTGAAGTATTTATTTATTTATTTTGTGGTACTGCAGTTTGAACTCAGGGTCTACACTCTGAGCCACTCCAGCAGCCCTTTTTTGTGATGCTTTTTCTTTTTGAGATAGGGTCTTTCAAACTATTTGCCCAGCTGGCTTCAAACTTCAATCCTCCTGATCTCTGCCTCCTGAGCAGCTGGGATTACAGACGTGAGCACCAGTGCCCGGCTTACTGAGTGCATGAGGTGATATAAACAAATCAATGTGTGTGGCCCCTGTGCTCCCCCTCCTCAACATTCCCAGGCTCAAGGCCAAGGCAGGTAAATTGGAGCTGTTTGAAAGGGGAAGTGTGGTTTGCCAACACAGAAAGAGCTGGAAGAACCAGCAGGGACAAAGGCACAGGTGTCACAGAAAGAGTCCAGGAAGGTAATGCACAGTGGGGCCCTACAGATTGTTGGGATTTGACATTTTTGGTTCCTGGGCTGACACTTGGCTTCTGCCTCCCCACCCAGGAGGGAGGGGACCCCAGCAGCTGTGTCAAGGCATCGCCAGAGACAGATCCGTCCTGGTGAGGCAGCTGCACACCTCATGTGCCTGGTAGGCACCACTTTTTCCAGACACGTTGGGAGTCATTCACTGTGAGACTGTTCCATGCTGCTTTGTCCTCAAAAACAAGTCATGAAGTCATGAGTAGCTAGGATCACAGGCGTGAGCCACGGGCTCCTCTGGGCTTCTCCTCTTCCCTTTTTGTGCAGTCCAAAGGTCACCTCCTCCGCAGTCTCCTATCATCTTCCCGATCTTCTGGGCCATCCTTGTAGGCAGAGCATGGCTGACTGATGCTCTGTCACTGAACACGGTTTGATCACCATCAAATGCCCAGCGTTCCTGTAATCAATCCTAGTTACGCAGGAGGCAGAGATCAGGAGGATCATGGTTCAAAGCCAGCCCGAGAAATTAAAAAAAAAAGTCACAAAAAAAGGGGCTGGTGGCGTGACTCAAGGTGTAGACCCTGAGTTCAAACCCCAGTGCTGCCAAAAAAAAAAAAAGCACAGCGTTGAAGGGAGCATGGATGCAAAGCCAGCCGTTTATATTTTTCTGCCCGCCCGCGTCTCCTTTCACGCGGCGCCGCGGCCCGAGAACCACGAGGCCGCGCATGCGCGCGCCCGCCCCCTGCCGCGCCAGGCCCCGCCCTCGGGCGCCCGCCCCAGTGCCGGCCCCTTTTGTTCCCTCCCGGAGCCCGGCCGCTGGTTCGCTCGGCTCCGCTCGGCTCCGCTCGGCTCCACTCGGCTCCACTCGGCTCGGCCGCCGGGTGCGCAGGCAGCGGGCGGGGGCAGCTGCATCCGCGCTTTCCCCGGCGGGCGGGCGGGCGGACGGACGGACGGACGGACGGACTGACGGGGCGCGGAGCCCGGGGTGGACAGTGGCCGCCGGGAGGGCGCAGCATCCTCGGATCGTGCGCGGCTGGAGGGCGAAGGTAGGCGCAGATCGGGGGTCCCCGGGCAACAAAGGACGGGGCGATGCTCCTGGGGTGGGGTGGGGGGGCGGCGGCACCCCGGCCTGCTCAGAATTGGGGCGCGCGTGGAAAGGTCGCGGCCACGGAGAAGGGCGTGTGGGGGCTGCGTGGGCGGGAGTTTGACCGCAGGGAGGGGTGGGGGTGTGTGCACCCCAACTTCCCTAGGTGGGCGCGCTGCTGGGGGATCGACCGAGGTCCCGATGGCGAAAGCATCCCACATCCACAGATGGGGGAGTGGGTTCGGTGCATCCTTCTGTGCACCCCAAGACTTAGATGTACCCTGGACATAGAGCACGGTGGGCGCGGCCCATCCCACCCCTATCTCTATCTCCAAGACCATGGAGTCTGGGGTACACCGAGTCCCCCTACTCCCACCCTGCCCACCCCCCGCCACCTAGAGTCGCCTGATGATGCTCTTTGCAAAACTTGGCTTTGCGAGTGTGTGGCTCCGGGGCGTCTGGCTTTGCACATGGGGTGCCCCCCCAAGCTGGCGCCGGTGGCTGGTGAGGCAGCAGATTTCTTCTCCTCCCCCCGCCACCCTACACCCCTAGGGAGGGGCAGCGGCGGAGGAGGATGCTTAGCTGAGCCTCAGGGACCTGCCAGTCCATGTGGACTCACCAGGCCCCCTTTGGGTGCCCATTGGGCACTGCCACGCAGGCCCCTCCGCCCCACCCTGGAAAAGTCAGGAAGAGGGACACTTTGGGAGTGGGGGAATCACACACCTCGCAGTGGGTCCCACAACCTCTGGATCCCACTTCTGAGTGAGAAATGGGAGCAGGAAAGTGGGGGCAGTGGCCCTGGTCCTGGTATGATGCCCGAGGGAGGCTGGTGGGGGTAGGGCTGCCCTAGGGCTGTGGGCAGAGGAGGCCGGAAGGGTGCAGGGAGGGTGCAGGGAGCACCAGCGTGGGGCTGCCTCTCTCCTCTGTGCGCCCCAGGCCTCCTCCCGGTCAGTTGTAAATGTAAACAGGAACCCTTCATTCATCCACCTGGTGTCACCCGGTCTGGCACCACCTGGAGCAAGCTGGGGGGTACCCAGGACCTGAGGTTCGCCTTTCGGAGGGAGCACAGCCCAGCTGAGTCTGTTGAGTGCACCCGGGTTGGGAAACTTTAGGTGATAAAGGGGAGGGGGGTGCCCTAAAGGGCAGGGTGGACCTGGAAACCTGGTAGAGCTGGGTGCAAAAGTTTGCTGCTTAGATGCTGAAAGAAGGGGGCTAGGGGACTTCTTGCAGGATGGGACAAGGGCTTGGGGAGGCAGGAGGCTTGTCAGTCTCCAGGGGCAGCAAAGGATTTGGGTTACTGGGTGCCAAGTTCAAAACCAGGCTCATCTGCCAGGTGGAGCTCTGATACCTTGTTAGCATACAGTAGGTGCTCACTAGCACAGGATGCATTCATGTCTGCAGTGAATGGCCCCGGAGTGATGTTGGGGTTCAGGGTCCAAGACAGATGAGGAAGGTGGAGGTGGAGAGGAAACCCAAGGGCAGAAGAGCCAGGTGGAGGGTTTCGGAAGGAGCCTCCCGGCTTTGAAGCCCAGACGCTGGGCAGGCAGCCAGCCTGAAGAAAGGGAAGGGATCACCCCAGCCTCTGCCTTTGACTGTTTAAAATTTGGCTGGACCTGGGTTCAAATCCTAGCTCTGCCACTTGCATAGTTGTGTGATTTTGGACATTGCGCCCTGCTCTGTCTCCATTTCCCCAACTGTAAAATGGCACTACTTAAGATCTTCTAGGGTTGTGGAGAAAATTCTGTGACCTGGGGACTGAGTTTGTTGTTGTGCCTGGAGGCCAGGGAGAGACCCTCTAGCCTCCTTTCACACAGCTGGGATGGGAGGAGGCTCAGCTCCTGCCCTGGCTGCGGGGGAGGGGGGCGAAGGGGAGGTGTCCACCTTCAGGCAGCCCTGCCAGTCAGCTGTCCCTGCCACAGCCACAGCCGTCCTTGTCTCTGACTGGCAGGCCTGCCACCGGACAGCTGCGCTCTCTCTCGCTCTCTCTCTTTTTTGGTACTGGCCCACTCCACCAGCCCTTTTCTGTGATGGGTTTTTGGAGATAGGGTCTCCAGAACTATTTGCCTGAGCTGGCTTTGAACTGCTAACCTCCTGATCTGCCTCCTGAGTAGCTGGGATTACAGTACCTAGTGGAGCTGCTCTCTTGATATCACCTCCTATTTTTGTGACCCTCTGTTCTGCCTAGTAATTTTTGGGAGAACTTCTGCCCTTACAAAAAGGAAAAGAGCCTGGTGGAGTGGCTCAAGCAGTAAGAGCATCTGCCTAGCAAGCTTGGTGCACTGAGTTCAAACTCCAGTGCCACCAAAAAAAAAATTAGAGAAGAAAAAGAAAAGTAAAAACTCTGCTAACCCTGTCGTACCAAGAGTGTTTCTGCCCTCTGTTTTTTGTTTTTTGGAGGCATTGGGGTTTGAACTCAGGGCCTCCCACTTGCTAGGCAGGCGCTCTACCACTTGAGCCACTCCCCCAGCCCTTTGTGCTTTAGTTATTCCTCAGATGGGCCTCATGTTTTTGCCTGGCTGGCCTCAGAATAAGATCCTCCCATTTGTACCTCCAGCATTGTTGGGTTCACAGGCATGTACTGCCATGCCTGGCTTGTTAATTTGAGATGAGGTTTTCCTAAGTTTTTGCCTGGGCTGGCCTCAAACTGTGATCCTCCCAATCTTCACTACTGAGTAGCTGGGATTACAGCTGTGAGTCACCACGCCTTTCCTTCTGTCCTTGCCAAATGCATTTGGCTTGAGATATTTTAGTAAGGCTGCCTGTGCTTTACAGATGAGACTTGGTGGTGCAGAGAGAGATTCTCTGTTTGCTCTCCATGCATTTATTAATACCTACTGTGTGCCTGGAAGGCATGGCACCTTCTGCCCAGCCGTCTACCTCCTCCACACCTCTGCTCAAGTACACAGTCCAAATGCTATATGCTTTTCTATCTGGCTTTTGGGGCCCACCCTGTGGCTGTGGCTTGCCTTCCCTCTTTGCTGTCCCTCCACTCCCAGACTCCACGTGCCTCTACAAAGTCCACCCTGGCTGTCTGTAACCCGTGAGGAGTGGCATGGTTTACAGGACGTGGTCGACTTTGCGGGGCCCCGCGTTGGGGGTGCCCTCTAATGCCTTGTCTTTGGGATTATTTTGTCACAGCCTCCTCCAGTTAGGTTATAGGAAGGGGACCTTGTGCATCAAACAATTGTAGCCCCCTCCCTTTTCTGGGCTGTGGCTTTATATTCTCTACCTCCCCTGTGTAGGTCTGACTACCTACAGGCTGGCTGTGCTGTCTGTCCCTGGCTGACAAATGTAGCCTGAGCAAAAGTGGCAGGTCCAGTGGCCCACATGGGTGTGCCCCTTTAGGTTCTGGTTGCCAGGGTGGCAGAGGGAGACTGATGGCTCAGCGGGTGGCAGGCAGCCATATTGTTCTCTGGGGCATGAGCTGGGCACAGATGGCACCATCAGTGGCTGCCTTTATGATGTGAGGGCTATTACTGGGTGAGGACCCCCAAAGTGGGCACTGCCGTCCACTGGAGCTCACAGTCTGATGGGGGAGAGACTCATGGTCAGTTAACCAGCGTGCCATGAGTTATAGCGTGGGTGGGAGATGGGGTGACCACTCCTGGCATCCTGACTTGGGGGACACTGGGTTGCTGACCTGCCTGGCACCTTAGGGGAGGACTGGACGATGGCCTGGGCTGGCCTTCCCCAGCTCTCTCACTAGGACCTGGGGGGTCCAGTTGCGAGCAGCAGACCTACACCCCAGGACCTCACTCCACTCCCTTCCTTCTGAGCCTCCTGGCCAGGGTGGTCACTGCCAAAGCAGTGATCCTGTCTTCAAGCAAACGCGTGGCAACGCTGCATTTCCCTCCTGAGCGGAAAGTCAAGAGTCACATGGCTCCACTAACAAGGCATTCATTTAGGGCCCTGGGTGCCCAGTGGTCCCCTCCTGCCCTTGTCCCTCACTGCCAGAATCACTAATTCTAGCTGGTCCTGAGCCCTGGGGACAGAGGGACACCCATTCCTATTCACCTCCTCCCTTTGCCCTCTGGGCCTCTCCCAGATGCTAGGGCAGAAGTTCAGGCCTCAGGAGAGCTGGCTTTCCAGTCCCATACCGTGTGCCCGGCCTGGCCTGGCCTGTCCTGCCCACCCCAGCTCCCTGGTGAGCTGCCTGGCCCTGGGCTACCACCTGCACGCACCCCTTTAACTGGGAAGACATCAGCCCTGTTCCTGGACATGGAAACATTGTCCACGGCTTTGAGAAGCAGAATGAAGGCCAGAATCAAGGCCAGAATCAAGACTGAGGGGTTCATCACCTGGACCACGTTGCAGGTCACTCTGAGGGTCACTCAGACACAGTACCAGGCAGGTTGGGGTGGACTGGGATTTCCTGGAGGAATAAAAATGGGAGTGTCTTTTTAATTTAATATATTTTTTGAGACAGGGTTTCACTATGCAGCCCAGGCTGGCCTTGAAGTCCCATCCTCCTGCCTCAGCCTCCCGGGTTGCTGGGATTACAGGTGTGCTCCACCACACCTGGCTCTAATCCCCCTTGAAACTTGAAACTCAGTGCCAGGGAACTGGGGAAGAGTCAGGCAGGCTGGTGCCGGGGGTGGTGGGTTGGGGACTGATGGGGAGGCCTTCCTGGTGGGCACAGAGAGAGAAAGGTGAAAAGGTTTGGGTAGAAGGGAGCAAGGCGAGCGGCTGGAACTCAGTATTGAGGCTGTTTTCCCAGGTTGAGTATAATGACAGTGGGATCGTGAATTGACTTTTGGTGTTAGGATTTTTTTTCCTTTTTCTTTTGGGTGGTATTGGGGTTGAACTCAGGGTGTTTGCTTACTAGGCAAATACTCTACTGCTAGAGCTATGTCCCAGCCCTGTTTTTGTTTTGTTTTGTTTTAGTTATTTTTCAGATAGGGTCTCATACTTTTTGCGTGGGTCAGCCTTGGACTGTGGTTGCCCTATTTACACCTCCTGAGT